CTCAAAATTGTGGAAGCATATTAGTAATGGCTCGCTAATGCTACCTTTTGCAAAAACTGTTTTCAATTTCATTTCGGTGTGAGAAGGCACTTGTGATACTATTTCAGCACAGTCGACCCCAAATACATGGAGACCCAGCTCTTGCGCAACGGCATTTGTCAGTTTCGTTTTGCCAGCCCCACGCTCACCTTGCAAAAGAAATATGGGGTAGATGTGCTTGGACGACAAGCAGGCAGACTTTTTGGGCAAAAAAGCATCGATGGAGTCGCGCAATAGGTGATATGAACGCCTTAAGCCGGTGGGATAGTTGCCCGTGATTGCAATATTGTCTAGAAGTTGCCGCGGCAGAAAGTGGTGCGTGTGCGGCACCTGCACCAAGTTAGTGAAATTCTTAGCAACAATGGCTTGCATCTCAAAATCATTGCCTTTTAACTCAAGATGCGCACACCGGAAGTAAACATGTTTCAAATAAGCGAAAATTAAGTAATAGTGCGCATACGCAGCGGTTCCCACCAGTTGCGCGTTTACTTCAATGCGATAGGTGTGTCCACGATGTAGCAACCGCGGTGTGTTAAAATAATTATTAAGAATTAACTCGGACACATCTGCTGGCAAATCATATGGATTATTTAATATATAGATGTGCGCTTTGGTAGCAATACTAGGAATCGTTTGATCGTCGCTTAAGTGCTCCAGATGTGCCCAGAAGCGTGTGCGTCTACTACAATCGTTAGTTATACGAAAACGATCCATTAAATTAGCATAGAAATTCTCCTGTACAAAAATACAATTTGATTGACTACTAGTACTGGGTAGCAGCTGAGCGACGATTGTATGTGGCGCACAACTAAGCATTTGTTTGATAACATTATCGGGTGCAGAGTTTAAAGTCTTTGTATTGGCAGCAGTAGATGAGCGATGTAAAGCGCCCTCGGTGGTAATAACCAAATTAACAAAATTTACATCAGCAGACTCTGTATATTCATCATAAATATCTTTCGTTGAGAATACAATATGTTCCGACTTTATAAGCTCGTTGGCAATTAATAGCTCATACAAAGTATTCGGTATGGGGACCAGCCGATATTTGCCCTTATAGTATTTTATATAGCGCTTATAAACTTCGTAGATCAGGTTCCCTGGAAATACATACCATGGGAACTTGGGATACAGAATTTGAACCGCAACATTATAAGCCTCAATCAGTACCAGCATGCGCCCAGTATATGCATATTTCATGGGTGCGCCATCGTCGATGGAAAGTTTTGAATTGCTCGCTGAATTTTTTTTCTAAATATAAGTAAAAATATTTTAAAGGGTATATGAGTACACTTTTTAAGTGCTTATCGTCAACATCAATGCAAAATACTCTATTTTATATATTATAGAGAATGTGTATTTTTAAATATTCCGTTGGCTTCCTCCCACATACACCCCCATAACAAAATTCAGAGCCAAATTATACCTATAAAAGTAGGAAAATATCACCATCAATGGCAAAAACCCTATATGACAGTAATCCAGATACGCAAAGAAAAAAATAAATGTTAAATTTAAAAAAATTAAATAAATGGTTAAGAAGGGTATTTTGTATTGATGTTGACAATGTACATATTCTATACAGATATTAAATGTATAGTTTTTTATATATTTTCGTATCTAGTTAATTTTTTCTGGACTACATATAGGGACTGTATTTCCTATTCCCAATTTCAAACTGTCAACTATGGCTATATTGAATAAGTAAATTCATGGAGGTATAACATATATACATTTGTTTAATTTCTTACCTGTTCAAGCATTGTAGTCTCAATTTGCATAGAGCACATAGCGCATATCTACCTATGTACACACATACGTATGTACATAAAACAATTAACACAAACTTGTAGTTAGTCTCTCAGGGAATTGATACAGAGCGTAACCTTAGGGCTTTGATTGACAAGAACATTAAGGGTGCAAGGTTAAGAACAATAGCATTATAAGCATCTTTCCAAGGACTTAATTAATATTTTGACCCAGCTGTAACTGCAAATTTAATTAATATAAATATTTAAGTATTTACAAATTAGTATTAATAGTATATACATATGCACATATAATAAGCAGAAATCGCTCGAAATGGCCTATTTACGACTAATTTTGCCAAATGGACTTTTACCTTTTTTATAATAACGCGCCTCTTCATTGCGTTGTAACTTTTAGTTTCTGCATATGTAAATTTAAGAACCGTCCGAAAAATTATAGTTTAGTTAATTTCATAATTAATTCTGGTGTTCCGCTTGCACTTTGTTTTACACAGGAATTAATAAACAGCTGATAACGAAAGTTTGAATGCCAACCCATTTTTTTAGTACGGAAATAGGTTCCTTCCCGCACAACCCGGACCGGATCCGGTAGATAGAGAATAATAAGCGAAAAATTTACTCTCGAAAATTTTGTTAAATTTTTGTTTCACAAATTTGATTTTAAGAATATAACAGCCAGTTTCACCAAACTATTTAAGTGGAAATTAACTTTAATTTAATTTTGTATCTAATTCTCATTTAAATAATTTTCAGTTTCAATAAACTATTTATTTAAGTGAGTAAAAAGTGGTTGTAAGATACACAATGATCAGTTGATTAAACGTGTAACACCTCTGAGCAAGGCGAATTTATATACGGTGGTGTTGTTTCATCAGCTGTGAGTAGCGTTTGATTGTCAAAATTTTGTATTTCGTTAGCGAGTGAGTGAAAACGTGAGAGTGTTTGTATTTTCTGTCGCCCTTTTTCATTCGGGGAAGATTAGCTGAAATTTGACACTGGCTCGCTAAGAGCAAAAACAAAATACAAGTAATTGTTGTATTTGTTGAATCGATACCACCTTATATGTATTCGCCTTGCCTATGTAATCTCCTATATTGGCAGTAAGAGCTAGTACCGTCCGAAACACTACAGTACAGATATATCAATAAACACGTACGAAAGAAAAGGAACACATACGTTTATAAATAAACATGTACACAACACATATACAAAAACGGCACTCAAGTACACAATGCAATGACAAAAACGGTACTAGACTGTCTCGCTTTGATTTCGGAATGCTTACACACTGAGAAGTTAGCTTACTGCCAGTATAGAAGTATTACATATATGGGTTATTCTGATTTAATTTTTATTTAAGTGAAGAGCATAGGTCACTTAAATCAAAATTAAAATTGATTGGTGAAACCAAAAATTCGAAAATTAAAGTAATTTTCACTTAAATAATTTGGTGAAACTTGCTGTAAGGATTGAAAACACATTCAATATTCCTTAAAAGCACCAAGTAAATGCATGCAACATATAAACAAAAAACAGCTGATATGCACTTTGACGCTTTATCCATTTTTACCCGGGCTGTTTCGGACAGGAAGAAGAAGACACTTACGATCCAATACGTTCCAATATTCGCTATCTATTACCCATTTTGTTGAGTACGGGAATGATTTCTGGGCTATTTTGGGCACCCGCGGGTGCCCGTGTTGCGTACGGGAAAGAACCTAATGATTTCTGGGCTGTTTTGGGCACCCGCGGTATCCCGCGTTGCGTATGGGAAATAATCTACTGTGTGTGAGAATATACCACGTTTTGCGACAGAATTCATGAAATGAATTGTTTTGAAAAAGTGGCAGCGCACTAGCGAGAGACTTAACAGTTGGGTTGTGGTTTTTTGGCCTTTTTTTGAATTTGCAAAAGGGGTTGGTACCAGGAAATGGTCCATGTTATATTTAAATTGGTTTCAATGTATTTTAATTTATTTATTTATTTTTTTTATTTGAACAAATTCACGTAACTCTTCCAGTGTTTTATTTCATGGTTATGCCACTACATGCTTTTGAACCTAAAAACGTCATCACCCTAGTAAACAGCTGTTTGTGAAACGTGGCGTCGGCGGGCAAGCATTTCACGATTTCATGGAATCATACTGAAATTTCTTGGTTAATTTTCGTGTATAATTGAATTCATGAAATTGTATTTGTACAGCCAATTTTAAATGAAATGATTTCGTTAATTGGCCTACGCATAAACGTAGTAATATATGCGTATGTACGTATATATCATAATTAATTTGTATAAACCGTGACCTTTAAAGGGTTAACGCTACTACTACTTTACCTGATACGCAGAAATAAAGTTTAAGTTTCTATTCTAAATATCATTAGTTTGCTTCTAAATAACTTTGTTTTGTGGTAATGCAAAGTGTTGAGACGGAAATTGATGAATTGCATGAATTGATGAATAACATGATGAATTGGTGATAACAAATTGCACCGTAAAACTAAAGAGTTGCAAAAAAAAACCAGAATGGATGCATTTGGTTACTACATAGGTACGTTACCAATCTTCTCTTATTACCAATTTTGAATTCGTACATATTTCCAGACGACTGCGTGCACTTGTTTGCTACCATTTTTGTTGCTGATGTGTTACTTCGCTTTCATAAAGCACTATGGGAATACATTAAATATAAAAACCATTATTTGCCTGAAGATCGTCTGAAAATAATATTGTTTCGCGCTTATAGTTACAATGTGGCTACAATGGTGGTTTATGTGAGCATTTTTGCTGTTGCTGTAGTACGAGCTGGGCTCCCACCTGCTAAATATTTTTTATACATGCCGGTTTTGTGGTTATTTTGTCTAGCACGATTGGAACATAGCACCCTCGATTATGCCACGTTTATTCGAGGAAATCACGGCTTAGATTCTGCATCAAGTATGGCAGCTAATTTCTTTCATGGGTACTTGAAACAAATACTGGCACAATATAACAATAGTACAGGAATAAGAGAACGCATTGCCCATTATGAGCAGACACATGGTGTGAAATTTGCGCTGGACCGTCTGGTTGTACTTCTTTCGAGCCAACTTTACATAAGTTCGAAATTCGAGAGCCCTTATATTGAAAAGGCAGAGGTAACTAGAGTTAAACTGTTCAGTCAGATGAACATATTTTTCGCCATAATTCATACATATGTAATGTGAATTGTATGTTCAACATTAGCCACTCCCCAAAGTGTATATTAACCGGGCTGGTGTATATCGTCCATATCAAAATGATGTTTACCGCTTCACTAAACCTATCAACAATCGTTTTTATTATTTGGCGCTGGAAGGAGCTACACCAATTCTAACGTTTTTCGAAGCATTAAATTTTCCGTTAACTAGAACGAAGGAAATTGAAATAATGAAACGCGAGATTCTTTTAAAATTTTGCAAGTATTTGAGAAAACTAGTTTTTGAATGGCCAGAAACAGAAGCCCAAATTGAGTTAATTTTCTACGATGGTGAGTAAGAATGTACTTTTGTACATAAATAAATTTATTAATAAATAAATATTAAATTCTTGATGTCCTATGAAAAGACCGCAAACCGAATGGTGAGAAGCAAGATATTGGCGAGATGTTGTTTACTCATTTCGAAAGTTTAATGCTTAAAAAGGATATGTTAAAATCAAACGGAACTACAGAGAATATTGCAAACGATAAAGACGATATGGCTTTTACGCTATGAGTTTATGTACCTACATATGCATGTTTCCATTCACTATATATGCACATTCATATACATATACTACATTCATATACACAAATCTGTGAATTTAAGTAAAAGTAAATAACAAATCCGTTAATAAACCTGTTTTTTAAGAAATTTGTATGTTTTCTATATTGTGTAAATTCCTTCTCAGATATACATATGTATATAAATAATGTATGTAAGCACCTTACGACGTAAGCCATGTTTTCTTTCAGTTTTTAGTGCCAAAATTGTCATGACCAATGCCATCTACTAGTAAAGCACAAAATGAACACCTCCGACTACGCATTACGTTATCAGTTGCAAAATAACGTGCCGCAGAAGTTATTTCCAAGCGCCGAACTACTCCGAGCGCCATCTCTGCATTCTACGTAACTTACTTTGTAAAACGGCACAGAAGTACATATGTTTGATACCAATTGTACGTTCTAAATTCCTACTTACATACGGCGGTCACGTCTTTGTTAAAGTAAGGGAGAATCGTCAGTGCAGTGGTCAGGACCGCCGGGTGAAGTGCAAGTTGCTGGTAAGGTATTGTACCCGGCGGTTCTTACCACTTAACTACGAATCTCCCTTACTTTAACAAAGACGTGGCCGCCTTATGTAAGTAGGAATTTAGAATGTGCGTTTGGTATCAGACATACTTCTGTGCCGCTTTCGGCGCTGGCCCAATGCAGGCTTGCTTTGCATGCCTTTGCTGACTTTTGTTTGAAAACTTGTTTGGCCGAATGGTGGCTTGAAACGCTGTCAAAGTAACCAGCTGTCTGATTGAAAAGTCAGTGTCTGTTCCCTTAACATTAATTATTATTATCCTAGAAAACTCTAGAAGATGTATCAAAAACTTTCAGATTTATTTATAAGTTAATGCGAAAAAATGTTTGTATTTAAAAGAAGTGGTAATAATGATACATGCTAATGTATATCTACATTTACTAAAAAAACTATAACTTAAAAAAGGGATTTACTTGAAGAAAAGAGCTATAAGATGTTTTTTCGTCTCGTGTAAAATTTGTAAAAGTGAGCTTTGCAATTTTTTACTATAATATAACGATATGTTAAATTTCATTTCGAATTGCTTTTTTTAAATTAATTTTTGTTTGAATTTATGTATTTTGAATAGGAACATGCCTCTTTGTCAAAAGCCTACAAAACGCTTTCAAATAAAACATTTGCCTATTTCAAACTTTGAGGTGCTTAAAGCAAGTGCAGAAAAGCTGCCATTTGGCCAGCCTTTATACATTTTAATATATTCCAAATAATTTTTGACACTTCTCGGAGCGAAGCAAGCAACGCAAGCCTGCATTGGGCCAGTACCTTTATGTAGTAGTATCTGGATAACTTTTCAAAGTATGTAATTACGATGGCGCATATTCATAGTCATATTTAGTACTCAACTAAGTCGAAACTATTCTAAGTCACAACTAAAGCTATTCATAGTCGCCTTAGTTTCGACTTTTCTGGCTAAGTACCAACTTAAAATTTAGTTTCGGCTGCAGCTGCAACTAAGTCGTAACTAGGAAGAAGTATTTTATCAAATTAAGGGAAAACAGGCGAAATATTTAAAAATTAAGTTGGTAGAGGGTGATTTTGATAATATTGAATAATCTCCAATTAAAATTTACAAAGATCGATCCATTTTAATCGGAAGATGAAATTAAATGCGTATTACAATTCGAATAAAGCTACATCACAATTTTATAATTGGAATAATTTAGATAAATTTTCAAATAATAAGTCAGTTTCACGCTAGTTCTTTTAAAGTAAATTTGTGCATAACATTTAGATATCTACTATTTGTATGTTTCACAGCATGCTTTCGATAAACATCGACTTCACATCACCGCGGTTGTTCTGGCTATTTCACACAATTAACAAGAAAATGATACCTACCTTATTCTTTTGCATAATCATGCAATGAAAATAAAAGTTACATAAACGAATGATCAAACTTGATAGTATTTAATAAAAATGTAATTTTTCCAAAATATCATAAAGAAAAATCGATACATTTACACACTCGTTTTGCTATATCGTAAACTAAGTCGAAACTACTTAGTAGAAGTCTGAAATGCGACTATGAATAGAGGTAAATTTTAAGTTGGTACTTAAATTTAAGTTGCAACTTTGTTAGTTTCGACTTAGTTGCTGGACTATGAATACGCGCCGATATCTTTAAAATAATCAAAATTTGTGCGTCAAACGCGTTTTATATTTAAGTATTTGAAAGCTTTTATTCTACAGTCCTAAAATGATATTTTCCTTATCCAAATCGTTGTTTTCTTTTTCATTAAGTTGCTCTTTCAACTGTTCTTCTGCCATATGTAAAATTCGTTTCTTCCATTTTTCGTAATCTTCCACAGCAGGGGCCGATCTTTTTGTACTATCACCACAACACTTTGCGTTGGCTACAGAGTTTTCGCTATCTTCAATTAATTCTACTAGACGCGTCTTTAGCTTCTTATCGGTTTTGTCCTTGTAATGTTTGGTCAAAAATTTATTCCATCGCAGTTCGAGCTGTTGCCACTGTGTTGGACGCAAATTACTAAAGCTCAATATTTTTGATTTGGAGACTTTATGCTTTAACATTTTAGCAGCCTGAAAAACAGCCATCGCTGCATATTGAGGATGTATCAAATCGTTTTCGTCACCAGCACTTTCTTCTTTCATAACAGTTTTATACAGTTCCAACAATTCGTTGGCCTTTTGTGAAACTTCGGTCATATTTAATTGCACGCAGATATCATTCACTCCAACAATTTTATTCAGGTCCAATAATTTTTCAATCATTCTCTTATGTTTTGTGTAATGCGATTTGCGTAAACTGGATAGCTTGAGAGCTTGTTCCTGAAACAAAAAAATATATATCCACATACATATAATAATATTATTGAATCATGGGGTACTGTTTATGAATTTGTACAACGATTTTGGGTTGCTGTGCCCAAACGCGTGAATCGAATCAAAAAACTTTTACACACACTTGTAGACAACAGTTCACGCTTTATTACAAAAATTTAATTTACTAAATCTGTGCACTAATTTAACAATAATGTCGGTTGGAAATATGGTATTTGTTGCAAATTTTTGTTATAAATTTGTATATACATTTTTATATACAAGATATTTTTATAAAACACCCAGTAACCAAAATAGACATCACTGGGGCGGCAGCCCCAGGTTTACCACACAGAAAGGGAATTCTAGTTACCTGATCCTTTCCCAAGGTTACATCACTGCGGCGGTAGCCCCAGTTATATCACACAGAAAGGAGAATTCTACGTAGTAAGGGTTATAATCCCTAAGCGCGGCCGAAGGCCGCCTACGCAGAAATGTGTTCTCTGCAAAAGGTGTTCAGCGCCCCTTTTTCGGACGCAAGTTTAACTTTGTTTTTTCCTTGCAAAAAATCTAAGATTCCCCTATTTTCAAACAGCTCCCCAGTGGTCTGTGGGAGGGGTTGGGGGGGGGGGGGTGACTTTTTATAAAGCGGCGTCAATCCTCTTTTGTTTAGGGGGGATTTGTGGGGCCCACACCCCCACCCCCTCCGGCCCCACCCCTAAATCGTTGTACAAATAGCTAAACATTTCCCGAATCATGTCTTGCTACCATATAATTTTCTTACCATATCAAAAGCAATGCCGACCAGCTCGGCAGCAACATCCACACACAACACAGTTTTTGCATATTCATTTAGCTGCAATGGAACATTGGCAGAACGCAACTCTAGCAGACGCAGTAGTTCCAGCGTTTTGCTGAATAGAGTAAAATGAAATTTTTAATCTTTTTTTAATTGCAGAAAACTATTTCTTACTGACCTTTGCATGCCCGGCTCATCGCGCAGACCCATTTTGCCAAGCATTTGTTCAATTAATGTGGCCATGACTTTGCCCCTGATTTACACTGTTGTTTTGTTAAAATATGCTGTTCTAGGCGATTTGATAAACAAAAACAAGATATGGTTTTTCGTGAAAAACGCAATTTTGCGTTTCACATGTGCCGGCTTATTGGCGCGCGAAAATAACATGAAAGGAGAATTAAGATAAATATGTCAAAATAGAAACACGAGAGTTAACAATTGGGGGTATTCATGATGCGTGATTACTTGAGCAGTTGGATCGATAGGGAAATTCTTCGTTTTGGAATACCTTCAGTTTAACAGTACACCTCCTCGTCTGGTTCAGCTAAGGGGAGGCCCAGGAAGTGCGCAACTGCAACAGGGTCTGTCCATTGGGAGAGGGGGGTTAGCGGGGTGTGGTTCGGTTTTCGTTGTTTTCCTTGATTTGCTTACCATTCGTTCGTTTTCCAGCGAATCAAGAGCTCTGATCCAATACTTTTCGTATAAAATCCTGTAAAAATGCATTTTTCCTGTAAAAACGTCAACCGGTGATCGCTGGACAATTTGCATGATTTTACCAGAAGAAAAAGTTCGGGTAAAATCTTGCAACTTCATCCTCTACACAACTCTCCGAAAATCTCTCTCATTTATAGAGCTCTGATCTAATTATTTTCGTGCAAAATCCTGTAAAAATGTCAAACAGCAAAGTTACTCTCTGAAGTGAGAGTAAAAATTTAGTAACAACAAAAATTGCGGGAACAAAAAGAGCATTTTCCCAGTAAAAACGTCAACCAGTGATCGCCTGAGACTTTTCAGGATTTTACCAGTAAAGGTTCGGGTAAAATCTTGCAACTTCATTCTCTGCACAACTCTTCAAAAATCGCTCTCATTTAGAGGATTTTGGAGTACGGGATCATTTGTCCTGTAACTTCCTGCAAGTTCGTGTAAAAACCTGTAAGTTCTTGGAGTACTGGATCAGAGCTAAGAAAATAGCATAGAATCCGCTAAAAAAAATCGCCTTTTTCCACTCTTTATTCTTCCATTTCACACGTAATTATACCGTATGCAGATCATCTGAAACAGCTGATTATCATAATTAACGTGTGCTCGCCATTATCACTGTCAAAATGAATACCCATAATGTGGATTGTAATCATATTTCCTTTGAAATGTTTCACGTCCGGTTGAATTTCCTCCTTTCTTATATTTGTTGAACTAATGGATCGTTCAAAATAAGTTAATAAAATATGATGGTATTGAAATATCATAAAATAAGTGGAAAAATAAGTGAATGGAATTAAAGAACTTCAGCAGCAGTTTAGAGGTACTTATAACAAGTAAAAACACTCATTCTTAGAAACATTTAACCAATTAGTACAAAACAAACATCTTAACTTTTATTAAACTTCCTTTATTTAATTACGAACATATGTAAACATATACACGATATATATATATATATATATATATATATATATATATGTAAATAAGTATGTATGTATATGTATATATTTCTGAACTACATTAGACAACTGTGCGGATATCTTGGAAATGGTATAACATCTCTTATGTTCTTAACACCTGTAATCAATTGCAAGTATCGCTCAAATCCCATACCGAATCCACCTGTGGGTATACCACCAAACTTTCGCAATTCTAAATACCATTCCAACCCGTTTGGAAGTTGTGGATGCGCACGTAGAATATTTGCATCGCTTTCACGTATGCCTCCACCACATAATTCACCCACCCCAGGCATTAACAAATCTAAGGCATGTACCCGTTCAGGATTTGTTCGTACTGCTTTCATATAGAACGGCTTTTGACTCGTGGGCCAGTCGATGACAAATACCGGGGTTCCACAATGTTCGACCAGAAACAGCTCTTGTTCTTTAGAGAAGCCCTCTGCGGGTTTAATCTCTGTTTTAAAAATGTGCTTGTTTGCAACCAAAATTTCCAGAGCGTCGTCATAGCTAACCGTAGTCCAAGTTGAATTTAGCCAAGATAGTTGAAAAGCATAACCCAAAGATCTTTCCTGACAAAATCTAATATCCTTGGAAGCTGATTCTATGACATGGGCAGTGACTGCTTTTAACATTTTTTCAATAAATGTAATTAATGCTGAAATCTCTTCAATGAATGCTAACTCTGCCTCGAACATGTAAAATTCTGCTAAATGAAGCGGTGATTTGGAATTCTCTGACCGAAACGCCGGTGATAGTGTATACGTGTTACCCAGGCCGTATGACATAGCTTCCAAATGTAGTTGACCGGAAACGGAAAGAAAAACTTTATCATCAAAATAGCTTTGTTCGGTGGGAATATTTGGGCGCGCCATTTCCTTGAGGAGCGCAGAAGAATCTGGTTGTACCCGGAAAACCTACAAGTTTCATTATAAACCAAACATTATTTAATTGAAATATTTTCATTTAAACAAAAACCTGCATACTTCACCAGCGCCTTCGCAATCGTTTGTTGTAAGAACAGGGGTATTGATCTGAACAAAATCCGATGCATCCATATAGTCATGTATCGCTTTCAATGCGCGATGGCGTACCCTCATTTGTGCTCCTATATAATCAACTCTCGCGCGTAAGTGTAAATGTTCACGCACATATTCTGGCGGGTGTTGCTGCTTGGGTGTAAAAGGATATCCATCGGCTATGTTCCCGTCAGCTGTAACAGAATTATTCACTTTAAATAAAACGTTACGCATGGAATGTATACTGTGCTTCAAGACCTATTACTTTCACATGTTCAGCATGCAGTTCGGGCTGACCGTTTGGTGCAGTCTGTATAATTCCATTTACGCTGACGCTACTGCCTACGCTAATATCCTTCGCATCTGCTTCTTTTGGAATGACTACCTGAAAGCGTTGCACTGTAGATCCATCACTTAAGTCGAAAAAAATATTTTTCTTTAGTCTTCTTATGTTTTGTACCCAACCCTAAAATTAAGGATTTTATAAAATGGGAAATAGTGATGATGGCAACAAAAACAAGTAACTTGCCTGCACATTAAGACGATCTCCTGGTTTAGCTGTTTTAGTTACTCCATTTATGCGCTGGAATCCGCTGCAAAAGCGCTTTAAAAGGAACATGCTCACCTTCCTTGTAACCTACTACGATTGCATCAGCTGTTCGTGTACCTCCAGCATTCATCAGCTGTTCAAAATAGTGGAATGCATCTTATCAATAAAAAGTTTGACTTTCACTGTAGTTTGTGCACAAGCAGCTCGCGAACATGCTGGCTGTGGCCAGCAAGTGCTTGTAGTACCGAATCGTTACTCACATAATAATCTCGTTACTCGCATGTTTCGTTCGAGTCAGGGTTGTATTCGTTATTCAGTAACGAATACATACGGTTTGCTACAGCTCTATAGTATAATGTTTGAAGCGATGGTTAAAGTTAGGTTTTTTTTTTTAACTTCGGCGACAAAAACTCCCAACAACCGAAGTCTGCCAATAGATTGTTATACGCAATTTTAAAGGCCTATAAATCCTCTTTTCATGTTTGATTTTTAAAATCGGGTGAAAAATAGTCAAGCTGTTAATAAAAGTGTTTGTCCTCAAGTACGATAATAGCGGATTTTTTATTAAAGACGGAGGGTTCAGAAACTATAAGAAACCTATGAGATATGTGTAAATCAGGCAAATCTTTACAATATGAAAAAACACTCCGAAAATCCGTAAAAAATCCGTACATCTTGACGGGAAGCTAAACATCCGCACGTTGAATCCGTACAACCATTTTCACCCCTGCAAATCCATGCCGTACGAAAAAATCCGTACATCTGGCAGGGCTGCCATTAATATCACGTGTTGCGTTTTTGTATTTCCGTTGCTGATTTCATGTAACTAAATTCATCTCTTCATAAAATTATCAAGATTTGTCTATGCATCCGTCGGTAAGTCCTTGGAAGTATTCTTTGTGCAAAGTCTGTTTTACTAATTTCACCACTTTGAGAAGTGTTTTTGCCTCAAGACTTCGAGTTGTACGGCATTAACTGTCTCTTTTAATTGGTTACTGCATTGGCTACTTTTATTAAGATTTTTGTATGCATTTGTCGGTGAGTCCTTGAAGTATTTGGTGAAAAATCCTTTTTACTAATTTGCCCATTTTAACATATTTTTTTGCATAAAAATATCAGCTTGTGCGGCATTAACATGGTGTTTTGAAACCGTAGTTGGACCTTTCATCTAGACCGATATAGTCACTTCTCAATCAGGGTGGTCTTCAGTATCTACGTTCTTGATTTATTCTCCTTGTGTGAACTATTCCGTGGATATAGTACATCATATTACTCTTATTAGCGTCAAAATCTTTATTTAAGTTTCTAATTATTATTTACAACATTGGCTGTAAATCCTTAAAGCTCTTTGTTATTATTAGTGTTTGTCTTTCAATAAATACTAAATACAAGCGTAATCCACAAAATTGTTTAGCTTCTAAATACATATCAAATTGGAATAAAAAATAATAAATGGCTCTTTTATTTTTCAAATAGGGATATTTGAAAAGTATTTCTTTAATATTATGTATGTATATGTATCAAATAAAAAACTTCAAATTATTACCCAAATCTTCCTTCTCGCTCTAATTACTCCACCTGGTTGGTTGGTTGGTTGCAGTGCTTCCTAGTCGCTGCCCAGGATACAATTAGCGCATTATTGCGCCATTTTGATGCACTTCTCGCGGGGGATAAATATCTTGTCTATGCACTTCCTATGTTGCTAGGTCGAACCATTTCGACTCTCTAATGAATCTGCCGATTTCGCTAATGGTAGCTCCTGATAGGTCGGTTAGTTCAGCTATTAGATGTTTCCCTAACGTCTTGTGTCTAATGTTCGAAAGGCCTGGACATTCACACAGGAAATGCTGGACACTTTCTTCGCTATCTTCTAGTTGACAGCTGCGGCAAATCATATTATGGGGTAGACCTATTTTTGCCGCATGTTTGCCTATGGGCCAGTGGCCTGTGATGGTTGCTAAAATTCTAAATACCTCTGGCCTTGATCTGCTAAGCAGGTCCAAGGTTTTCGCCCTGTTATAGTCAGGCCATAGTTTTCTCGCTATCCTACAAGTCTGTATATCTGACCACCTGCGTCTAGCCAGTTCAAGGAAATGCGTAGTAATCTCTCTTTGGACTACTCCAAGAGGGCAACCCAGTGCCACTGCCTGGGATTCATCCAAACCGGCTCCTGCCTTGGCCAACTCATCCGCCTTCTCATTGCCTTCTATGTTCCTATGTCCGGGAACCCAGACAAGAGAGACGGTATTTGACTGAGACACTGAGCGCAATATTACTTTGCATTCCCCAACTAGCTTGGATTTGGTAACCGGTGACGCTATTGCCAATAGCGCCGCCTGGCTGTCAGAGTATATTGTTGCTTTACTGCTGTGTCCAACCCTATTGCCTAGGATTTTGCAGGCTTCTAGGATCCTTAGGACTTCCGCTTGGAAGATGCTTGTATTATTTCCCAACCGTAGAGACAGAGCCACGCCTAGTTCCTTGGAGTAGACACCTGCTCCCACACCGCAATCCATCTTGGATCCATCGGTGTATAGAGAGATCTCTTCTCGGTCGGCCACTCGGTCTCTTCTCCAGTCCCTTCTGGATGGGAATAGCACTTGCGTGTTACAGCTGAAGTCCAAATTGCCTACCATATAATCTGTCGTCCTATTTAGTTGCATTTGATTTATGATCAACCCATGTCCGAAGTGTCTAGTCCTCCAAAGGCCCGACTCTCTGAGTCTGACCGCCGATTTCATAGCCACTTCTTTCAGGTGGAGATCAATAGGAATTAAATTGAGGATGGCGTTTAAAGCTTCTGCCGGGCAGGATCTTAGTGCGCCTGTTACTCCTGCGCTTGCTGCCCTTTGTATGCTTCTTAGCTTGCTGACATTATATTGTCTGCTTAGGCCGGGCCACCAAACCAAGGCGCCGTATGTTAGAATTGGTCTTATGATCGCGGTATACATCCACATCACAAGTTTAGGATTTAGTCCCCAGTTTCTACTGAAGATTCTCTTGCAAGTGTAGTATGCTATGTAGGCCTTCTGTCTACGGAATTCGATATTGGTTTTCCAGTTAAGTTTGTTATCCAGCACGACTCCAAGATACTTTGCGCTGGGGGACAATGAGAGCGCATTGCCGTCTAGCGATGGTAGCTTGAATTGTGGTAGTTTGTGTCTGTTTGTAAATAGGATAAGTTCTGTCTTCGCTGGGTTCACATTTAGGCCGCTTCTCGTAGCCCAGGCGTGTAGTCTTCCCAGGGTTCCTTCAAGGATTTCGCTAACGGTAGAGAGGAATGGACCTGTGGCTGCTATTACAACATCATCCGCATACGCCACAACTTTGACTCCCCCTCTATTGAGTTCTAGCAATATACCGTTCAGGGCTATCACCCATAGCAGTGGTGAGAGCACTCCGCCCTGTGGAGTGCCCCTGTTCACATGATGTGTAATAGAGTTAGCCCCATTTGTTGCCTGAATGATTCTATTGACTAGCATCGATCGTATCCATCTACAAACACTGTCGTCAACACCAATATCTATCAAAGAGTCTATGATGGTGTCCACCTCAATGTTATTAAATGCGCCCTCGATGTCAAGAAATGCCGCCAGAGTATATTGTTTAAAGTGCAACGATCTTTCTATTAAGCTCACCACTCCATGCAAAGCAGATTCAGTGGATCTGCCTTTGATGTATGCATGTTGTGTTGTTGAGAGTGTCGCTTCACCTAACAGCGATCGTATATAAATGTCGAGAAGCCTTTCCATTGTTTTAAGCACAAAGGAGGTAAGGCTTAGGGGTCTAAAATCTTTTGCTGTTTCGTGGTTTTTCCTTCCTGGCTTGGGTATGAACACGACTTTTACCCTTCTCCAGCTTTTAGGAATGTAGCACAAGGTAATGGTAGCCTTAAAAATAGTCACGAGTAACGGTGCTATCTCTCCCTTCACCCTCTGGAGCATTGCTGGGATTACGCCATCTGGTCCAGGGGATTTGAAGGGAGAGAAGCTGTTAATAGCGTAAATAATTTTTTCCCTGCTCACGATCGAGTTCAACAGTATACTGCTAGTTGAACCAGGTTCAATTGACCCTGATGTGGGTGGATGTCGAATACATCCTGGGAAATGGAACTTGACTAACGTGTTTAGAGAATCACTAGCTGTGTTCGTCCACACCCCGTTTTCTCCCTTAATGAGTGTGATATTTGTGTGTTCTTTTGATAGGATTTTGCTGAGCCTGGCTGAGTCTTTAGAGTTCTATATAGAAGAGCAGTAAGATTGCCAGGATTTAGTTTTAGATTTTCTCAACTCCTTTTTATAAGATCTGAGGGCGCTTTTATAAGGCGCCCAGTTTTTAGTTCTAAAGCAATCATTGTAGATTTTCCTTATTTTGTCTCTTTGGGCTCTGAGATCCCCATTCCACCAGGGTGGGGATTTTTTTCTTGCTGTACTAACTGGAGTTGATCTTTCAAAGGCTTTCTTCATAACCTCTTCTAGTTTATTTACTCTATTATCAAGGTCCTCAACTGTAGTGACAGTTGTATTTAGTGGGAGCTTACTTAGTTTACGCTTAATTGTGTTACTATATCTTTCCCAATTAGTCCTGTGGGGGTTTCTGTATTTTGAGGTATCATGATACAAAAATAGAAGGTAGTTTCATTTATTGACATTCGTTGTTGTTGCCGACCACTTGACTTTTAATAAGTTTATGACATTTCATTAAAACCATGCTACCAGATTCACTAGCAGAAAAATTTTTGTTTCTTGAAAAAGTAAAAAAAAATTTTAAGTTAGTGAAGTTGGATGAAAACATTAAAAAGTCTTGCGCGTTTTCAAACTGAAAGAATTTGATAAACCTGTGCAAATGTTCGAAAATAAAGTTTTTTGGATAGAGGATAGAGTACGCTATACGATTTAATGCAGTTTGATGACAAATTGCTGACACAAAATATTTTTAAACCTCTAACCGATGTACCGTTATCCGTGGAAGAGGGTGGAGATCGAGTTAAAATGATGCCATGCAACTTGTAACAGTACCAATTTTGGATTCTCGGAATTTTCTGTTAAGGTGTGGCGCTGCTCAAAAAT